CCAGAAATCACTTTAGCTTCAAGGGGACTGCTTCTATAACCACAGTCCACAGTGTCAGCATCAGGTGTTTTCAGAAGGAAAGGGTGCCAGCTGCAGAATTCAAATTAAACCTCAGAAAGCTTTTAGTCAATCTCATTTTTCAACTTTGCTGGGTCTAGATCTGAGACAATGGCTGGTGGGCCCATGGTTCCAACGCAAGGCGGGAACAGGACAGCAGCAACGAACTATGGCTGAAGTTACATGAAAGCCACCACTCAGTGAAGAGGAGGAACTTCTGAATAAATGATGGAAAACGGGTCTCTCTTTTCAAAGTACTTCTGAAGCTAGAGAAAAGAGCATTAAAATAATAATAATAATAATGGGGAATTCAAGAGCGTTCACTCTACTCTGGGAGAAAACGAGGAAAAATAAACTCAACTGCTTTATTTAAAGAAACACAACAGCTACATGGCTTCTCTGGAGCACAGAGGAGGGTAGTGAAGGATGTGGAACTGTCTTGAGCTCCGGAAAAGGTGGACTGAATTGCCAAAGAAATTTATGAGCAGGACTATTAGCTTCCTGTCTTTTATGTCTATTCTTGGCTTTCCAGGAGCATTATGGCATTCATGAGGTGAAAACTGCTCTGGAGCCAAGGTCAGCTAAGGCTGATGCTGCCTGTTCTACTGCAAAGCTGAGAAATTCACTCTGAACTGTTTCAAGATGCTGAGTTTAAAGCTAGAAGACACTTGACTGAGGGCTCAAGTTTACTTGCACTGAATAAATGAAAGGCTTTTTTTGTCAGCTTAATGAGAGTATGATCACATCTCCAGGCTGAAAAATTATTCAAAGATTAAGCTCGCAGAAAAACATGTTGTCAGGGAATGCACTCATATTTTGTCCAGCACAAAGTATTAGTTAGCTACAGCTTAATAATTCATCATTTAAGAAAAACAACAACAAAATAGTTTCAATAATAAAATAAAGCATTTGAAAACAACAATTTCAGAAACAGGCCATGATCTTGCAAGGTGCACAGCACTCTCAGTCAAAATTTTCAGTGATGACTGAATTTCTCAGAACATAGTTGGGTCTGATCTTCAGTGAAGCACTTCATAGAAGGAACTGGTCATGGTGGTAGTCACAGACAATTCAAGACACATAAACTGTCCATAAACAAAACTTCCAGAATTACCAGTGACTCAGGACAAAGCACCTAGGCATCTGACTCTAAAGTTGCAAATTTCAGCATAGTAAATCACAGGTACTAGTGAAAGTTTTCCCACATCTTTGTCAATTTGCAGTGGAAGTCTATGCATTGAAGATGGTGGAAGTCAAATAATTTGTCCATAGAAAGCTCAGGAAAAGAATTCTGAGGTGAATCAGCTATTAAGCTGACCAATATTTGGTAATTTACAAAAATTCTAAGTTAGCAGAATTTGTTGAACTTGAACAAGCAAAAAGTATGAAGCCACTAGCTCAATTTCAATTTAACAGGCACAACTGTAAGATTTGGCAATAAACATAAGGCCTATGGGGCCAACTTTTCTTGGATTCAAGCACATGGCATGACTGCCTTTGGTTTAGCCATGGCTAGGACCATACCTTTTGGTCCCAAGTGAGCAAAGCACTTGAAACTGAAGTTGAGCATATTTGAAGTGTGTTCTGAAGTGCTGCACTGAGTCAAGGCCATCCTTGTGCTTCTCTATAACAGACATATGTTTGCAAAATGGGCAATTTGTTGAAGCCAAAAATGTACGTTTTGAAAACTTTTTGAGAATCAATTATTATTATTTTGATTAGACATTCCCTTACAGAGTCTGAAGCCTAAACATTGTGGCATTGAGCTAATGCAGATGAACCAGAAAGGAAAAGTACATTAGCTGGTAAAGAATCTCTCTGCTGAATAATCTAATCAAGGCAGTTTTTGATCTATGGTCTGTAGAAGACCTGGGAACTATTAGCAAGAGGCCTGTGAAAGGCAGCTAAGAAGAGCAAGTTTAAATCTACTTATATGAAATGTCTTAAATTATCTCCACAATCCCATGGGAAAAATGTGCATGTAGGTGTGCAACAATTTAGAAAGATTATAACTTATTGATTTAAAATGTTCTAATGTGCAAGATTCACATTGGGAGTTGCTGGGCTGTGAAGTTGTGGCTAGGCCTCCATCAGCATCCCACCAAAAAATATGTCATAAAAACACTTCCTGAGGTCATTTAAAAAAACCCTACATAAAACTGGGGATCTGAATTATTATATTTTTAATTTAAAAATTACCTTTTACTAAACTTTTTTGCTTTAATCACAGAATCATAGAACTGTTCAGATTGGAAAAGACCCTTAGAGTTACTGAGTCCAACCACCATCCCTATTCTGCAAAGTTCTGCCCAATAATATGTTTAGTTACAGTAGGATGTCACAATAAAAAAGCTGTCCTAATAATTTATTGTTCCAGCCAGATCTGCTGGCTCAGATCTTCTGGTCTGACCTGACTGCAGATGGCATAGGAAATATGCAGATCCGCACTACTGTCTTGCTCACTCACTAGTGACTGTTCACATTGCAAGGAAACTCATAATACATAAAATATTGAAAAAGTTAATGTTTGAAATAATATCCTCTTTTCTCTACATATTTAAAAATTTTCCTTCCTATTTTCTGTGGCAAAGTAGTCAAATGGAAAGTAAAAATACTGAAAGGCATATTTGCAAAACAAAAACTAGATAAACACTCCCTTGAAAATTATTTTTAAACCCCCAAATCTTAAGCATGCCGAGGGGCAAACTTCAATCTGGAAGTCGTCTGGTTTTTTTGGTGTTTTTTTTTACTCCCAACTCCACAGCAGTATGAATGCTGCTCTAGCCTACATTCTTCTCTGGTGCCTGTAAGACAAGAAGGCTACTTCAGAACATTGTCCATTGACTGCAGTGTTACTGTGGCTGAGGCACCTTTGCAGAAGGCCCAGACAAGGAAATGGGTGATGGAAACCTGCCATGTGAACAACACCTGTTACAAATCTACCTGGTCTACACACCTGTCAGCTATACTGGAGATGCTGTGACAGCCAAGAAGCCCTGCCCTCTGGCTGCCTGGAGCATTGGCCAATATTTCACAAGGGCAGGTGAGGAACCCTGTGCTAAGAGACAAGTGAAATGTAAGAAAAAAAAAGTCACCGGGGAGTCCATGGAGTATTTCCCTATCAACAAGTAAAAGGCAACAGAAAGAAGACAGAGCCAGTTTTCAGTCTTCATTCCTTACGAGCTACTCCAAAATGGTTTTTCCAAACTAGTCAAGTCTGGCTATGACTGCTGAGACCAGAAAGTTCTGCTTATGAAATCAGAATAGGATAAAGCAAAGCATTTCACACACTATAACCACAGTCATGGTTGAGTTTTCCCAGACAGTATTTTCATGGGTCTACAACACATTAATAGCATGTGCTGTTCATTTCCATTTGCTGACTACAAAGCGCATAGCTCTCCTTTGTCTAGTATAAAATAACCCATTGGTATCTAATTCATCACAGATAGAATTTTGCCCCTGGTTAATCAATGGAAGAAGTCCCAGGGATATGGATGGCAGCAAGATTAAAGTCAGCCCAGGAGTAGCATTTTACCACCCTGACTCCAGGAGTTAGTTACTTGCAAAGTTTAATTGTACATACATGAACAGTCTCACTAATCAATGTATGACTACTTAACATGAAAAGTTCGTGATTTTCAGGATTAGGGCCATCATCACACAGACAATTCAATAACTGCATTAATGTTGTTTAATAACTATTTGAATGTTGCACATGCCTGGAGAGGACATTGGGGCTAAAGGTCTGTTTCTATCCATAAAGCCACTTCTCCTCCTAAATGTATTCTAAATTGTATTTACAGCTGTTGACTTTCCCTGCATGTTACTCCTGTCATAAAAAATATGTCTTCAAAACATCCTCTCCCTTAATTTTTAATCCTACCAAAGCAAAAAATAGATACTTTAATAGAAAAATACAAGATAAAAAATATCCTAAAAATAAAACGCTAGCATGGAATGTAATTTCTACACAAAAAAAAAGATCCCCTTTTGAATTGCCTCAGCTATACAAACACTTTCATATTTACAATTTTGGATGCAGTCCTGTACTCACTGAAGTTAATGAGATTCTGTCATTGACTCCACTGGGAACAGGAGTAGGCTCTGCATGGACTGTATTTGCCTCTCTGAAAAGTCATGGCAGTGGAGAGAAAAGAGCATGATGAAACACATACAAGACTGAGGAATTAGCCAGTCTTCTCTGGAGGCCTCATTATCTTCTCCCTCACTATTTCACACCAGTGAAACTCCTCATCCTTCTTCCTAACTCCCAGAACTTAAGAGGGAGAATCAGCGCTTTTGGTTGTGACTCTACACAAACAATGAAAAATGGAAAAATGTGAGTGTGTTTCCACCTGCCTGACTTTCTCAGTGGAGTTAATTACACCCCAGTGGAGTTAATTACACCCAAGTGCCAAGTTCCATCTTAGAACTAAATTCCATATGCCAAATCTTGTATCCCCTGTAATCAATGGCAATGATTCAGTGATGTAGGATCATACCTCAAACGAACCCTTTTTTCTCCTTTTGACAGCCACAAGCATCTGTGCCTGTGAAATCAAATCTGATACCCATGGGTGAGATGAAATTTAGGAGCTAAAAAAAAACAAACAAAAAAGGGAACAGAATGAGGCATTCCCCATCAACTAAACCCTGATCTGCTGCCCTTACCGTATGCTTTAGGAAATACTGTGTTTACATATTAAGTACGTTCTACAACATCAAACCACATCATCTTCTCTTTTCATGAGATGAAAGGCCATGTGGCATAACGTGATTAGTAAATAATTCCTGAGCTTCTGAAAGAAATTAAGACAGAATTACTGCTTAAAAGAGTGAGTTCTTCAAGAGCATTTTCTTTTTACACTGATGTCTTTGGTTGTGTCCTTTTCCTTAATTATTTTTATCCCCTGGAAGAATGGGATTCTTTTTCTTCTTATTTATGCAGCAGAAAAATGAGATCTAATGGAGTCTTCACGTAACTGCCGATGTTTCCCCATGTTACAGTCCTCCTGGCGAGTTCGTCTTTCAATAGTTATTCTGTACTTCTTTCTGCATGAAAGGAGAGGAACAGAGTGAGAAATCTTTCTGCAGCTATAGGATAACAGGACTTCCCTTATAAAGAATGCCTGGAGGGGACAGTTAGGTTCCAGTTGAAAAATGAAATGTGGCAGAATGTGAAACCCTGGTCAAAGATTAAAGTACTTCGCCTCAAAACATTTTACCCAGGCTCAAGAATGCCTGTTAATTTCTCCACAGCTGTCTCAAAGCACCAAGACACAGACATTTGCTTCTTTGAAAATTTCTGATCTAAGTGATTAGGAAGTTTTTGTGAAGTGTCATGTGAACTGTGTCACATCACTGTTTTATATTGATCAAAGACAAATTTCCTTCCAGTATTTGGGAAGGAGAGGGGGCACTTTCTGCAGAGTTCAAACAACAGATCTGACTCTTTATTCAGTTGTCTTTCTTACTGAAATTACATATTAGCTAATCCTCCTCTCTCCCTCTGAGAAAGCTACTATGTTTGTAATGTCAGAAGAGGTAGTGTGATGAATTAAGAAGGAGGATGTAGAGGATAGATAAGAAGTAAATACAATTGCTCATGCATCAGGCAAAGTTTTTCCTGTGTGCCTTCCTCTAGGGCCTTTTGAAGAATTGTTATATTACTTTATACGTCAAACAAGCCCTCTGACTGCCTTTCAAATTGCCCTTTAGTACCCAAAGCTTTCCCAAATATCATAAAAAGATTCACATTTATATGTTACACATTTTTGCTTCTACTGAATTTCAGGACCCATTTTTCAGAAGGGCATTAGTCCTGTCCCATGTACACACAGCATTGCCTGCACAGACACGACATGAAGCTTGTGTGCCAAGGAAAGCTCTGCTCCACTTGCATGTGTGGCAGGAGTCACAGATGGATATGTAGCCATGGAAATATGATTTTCCCAACAAAGGTTTTAATTTGGGGAACATGGCTCAAGAGAAAGTCGTAGCCTACAAGTTCTGAAAACATTCTCTAGACATTTGTGTTTCTATCAGTTGGCTTCAAAATAACTAAAAAACCCTATGTCTTTTTGCTCCATTTATGTATTTTCAAGTCTCATCCTTCCACAGATCAAAGAACGCACAGTAGTAGCTCATGCACCCAGGACAGCTACACATTTTAGATGTGTAGCTCTTTAAGTTTAAATCCTTTCAAACTATGTATTAGAACTGCTTCCCAGACCTTTTAATAGTTTCCATGCACACTCAAAACTGTAATTCATTACATAACAATTCCCTCCCAGATTCAGTAATGCTAAAAAAACCTCACCCAGAATTATCCTCTCAGATTTAGAATGTGCAGAAGATGCTATAATCTCTCATGACAAATACAACAGAGCCAGATCTGTATTTTGTTTTTCATTTGTCTTTTAAAAACACCCTTTCATCAATCTCAGCTAACTTAATCTTGTCTCAAACCCAAAGGATATACTATATAAGCACTAAAACCATGCAAGAATACCTGCAGAACATCATTTACTTGATGAATAATCCTGGTTCTAGGATCTTTTGAAACCCTGAAACTGTGCTGATGAACTGAACCACTTTTCTACTTGTTTCATTTTGTTTTGTTTTTAATAAACAGATATATTATTTGATTCTTACATGTAGAGGTTAATTCTACTCTCCTATCTGCCTTTTCTCTTCCATACCATAAATGGACAAATTTTAGTATATATATGGTGCTGAAAATATATAACTAATTTATTCTGTCAGTGATGGATCAACTCTCAATACTTTAATTTTGCTGAATAGCAGCATTAAGAATTATTTTACTTAAACAAAAACAAAACACTGATAACCCTGCACTGACCTCAGCTTATTAAATTAAATGCAGAGCCTCAAAATCCAAATGTTCTCTTATACCAGAACAGAAATCTCTTTCTAACTTCCAGTACAATTCCACTCAATACTAGAAAATTAAGCATGGTACCAGGCAAGTGATATAAATCTCTTGCACAATCACAGCCTGCACAATTGTGCTGGCAAGCAGCACTCAACAAAGAGGCATTCAAGGCCAGAGCACTTTACTGAGGCAACTGTGAATGACTGGAACTCACTGGAATTACTTCCATGAGTAAAGTTACTCAGAGATGTACGTGGTTACAGGGTGAGGCCTTGAGTCAATACAATGATTTGGGTATACATGAAAGGTCAATCAAAATGTGTTCACTGTCTTTGGGGAGAAAATTACCACAGATTATTACTGTGCCTGTGTTTCCCATCAAGGATGTGCTGCCAGCAGCTGAGAGATTTGGGTGACAAGTTTATAGATTTTTCAATTAATTGGACTAACCTGAAAAAGTAAAAAGCCATTAGCAGTCCTGCTCCAAGCAAGGCTCCCACAACTATTCCTGTAACTGCTGATTCTCCTAGACCACCTGCTTGAAAAGGGGAAAAATAAATAATCAGGGTTCATATAGAGAACTATTTGCATTCACATACTGGAAAATACACACAACTAGGAAATGAGTAACCAACACCAGATAACAACTGAAGCTTTTCAGAACTCAGGACTACATGAGAACCTCTTCCTTAGGCATGCTTATTTTTTGTCCTTGCTTTCTTTTGGGTTAAACAAGCCCCCAAGTCAGTGTCAGATGAAGACAAAATTCTAGCAAGGTGATCCACAGGAATGTTGGTAAGAAACCGGTTTGCACAGCTTGGTCTGAATCATAACACAGCCTGGGATTAAAATGACGCATGTAATGGGAATCAGCACTGAATATACCCTGAGTCACAGTAATAGAAACAAACACATTTCACTTAGTTGAGCATCTTACCAAAAATTACCGTATGATTACCCAAGAGGTCCTCAATTTTTATTTTTATTTTTTCCTAAATGCATGCTGTTTCAAATTAAAGCCATTTGAGCTCTGTCCTTGCTCCAAATCTCAACAGAGGCGTAAGCAGGGACAGAGTGGCTGGAAGGGGAGCACCTGAAGTACTGAAATGGCATTTTCATGTGGGTGCAGCCTGTTCCCTTTTCCATGCCTATCTGGGTTTGTGAAAATGAACAGAGAAATACTAAGGAAATTAAATTGCTCCCTCCTCTTCATTTATCCTTGACCTTTTGAGGGGATTTTGTCTGTACCTTGGGATGAGTGGAAGGAAGAAGGTGCATAGGTACCACATGCAGAGCACCAAGGGCATGGCCCAGAAGCAGTCTCTGCAGTATGTGTGCACACAGGTTTTTCAGGGATTACAGAATTATAAAACTGCAGGTACCTTAACACTTCAGGACTAGCAATTTCTTTCCTGTGAAAAGGTAAGCCCACCCTTTGCCACTGAGGCATCAGTACCTTCCTGCCCTTACCTCCTCGCAAAGTCCTACTCACTACAACATCATCTGCAAAGTCTGTATGATGGAAAACAAGGACACCTTTTCTGTGGGTTGGTAGTCACTGCCTTCTGGATTCACAGCTCTTGCCCCATCCAACTGACTTAACTTCTTCTCAGCCTAACGAGCCCCTCACAGTGCCTTCTCATGGCACTGAACTCATACTGCACTGGGACATCACTGCTCCCACAAGCACCAGACTCCCCAGCTGCTAATTATCAATATGATTATTCTTTTTGGGGTTTCAGTTATTTCCTTCTTTCTGGCTAAAAGAGATTTCACCTTTTAGCCCTGCCCCTGGAAAGCCCTAAAACCTCCAGGGCCCAGTACTGTGCATCATGATTACTGTCATGTTTAAGTTCAGGGAAGTGATTCAGACCAAGTACTACCCAGGGCTGCCAGACCTTAACTTCCCAAACAGCAGAGAGTCACGATGTCTCAGTTGGGCAACTGAGCTAAGCAATTCAATGTGGCCCATTATGTTGCATCACCACATGGATTCCTCTCTCCAACAGCCTGGGCAGAAGCATTAACTCACTAAACTTACATGATTTGCACGGTGTATTATTTGTGTGCTCGGAAACTCTGCTTTCGTCTAGTCGCAGCCTGCCGTGATTCCAAGGATATTTCACATTTGATCGAATTTCAAAACGCCCCTGCTTTCCATAGTAGTCTCCAATCACCTATGCAAAAAAACCCCAACAAAACAACGAAAGGAATGAAAAGACTTTTCCATCAGTTTAGGCGAATAAAACAGGAGAGCATATCACTCACTTGGACTCATGTGGCAGGATGTTGAGTCACAGAGAACAGGGCTGAAGGGGTCTGTGGGAGGTTATGTAGTGCATGTCCTGCTCCAGGGCAGGATCAGCTGAACAAAAGAATTCCTGACAGATGTTTATCAAACCTGTTCTTAAGAGCCTCCAAAGATGGAGACTTGACAATTCCTGTAGACAATTACTCTGAAATTTAGCAGTCCTCACTGTCAGCCTTTTCCCTAACATGTAACCTAACCCTCCCCTTGTTGCAGCTATCCATCATTACTGAGCCAACTGCCAGTGGACACAGAGACTTCTCCTTTCACAGGCTCTTCTCATGTCTGCCCTCAGGCTTCTCTTCTATGTAACCCAACTCACACAACTCCTTTTTAAACCTCTGAATATTCCTCTGAATATTCAATTGCTTCATAGTAGATTGAGTGCCCAGGACTTTCACCCAGCCAAGTGAAAGTATTATGTCAAGTACCTCCTGCGCTGAGGCACCCGACTGCACACTTCAGGCTGCACTTCACTACTTCAAAAGGATTTGAAGGTACTTGATCCTGTTCAGCTAAAATCTTCAAATCTGACAAACTACAACAGAGATTGTAATTCTCCACATTGTATTTCTGCCATTGCTGATATTTATACAGAAAGGCCCTTTCATACTTAATATTCTGGTAGCAGGGACTGTTATTTCAGACCAATTCATCAAGATATTTCAGAATTTCAGTCCTGTCCTCAACAGTAAATTAAGGCTTTATTCAAGATAACATATATTGGACCTACTGCAAAGTCAAAGGACTAAATTGTGCTAATAGTAGTATGTAACTAATCTGAAAATAGTACCAAAAAAAATCTATACACAGTAATAAAGGCCAAATATCTTGGCACTGAAGTAGTCAGAAGTGATGGCATAAGCATATCAAAAGCCATACCTCTCCTACCATGGATAAAAAAATGTATGTTAATAAACCAAGTTTCAAATTCAAGCCACTGACAGCCTGTTCAAATCTTTCACCTAAATTTCATTTTGAAGGGAAGAAGTTAAAAGATAACATTTATCCTGGTTAGATACACAAAGGTAGATTTCATACTAAATAAAGGAGCTTATTTCTCTCCGCAACTTAGAGATATATCCTTAAAAGACAGACTTTAAAAAAAAATCACTTAAAAATACAGGCAAACTCAGTAAACTGGAAAAAGGAGAGGGATAAAACCTCACAGACTATTTGCAGGCAGCAGGCTGTTCACTAAGAGGTTGTTTAGTTGATCAAACAGGAGTAGAAGTCCTCTACTAGCAGAGCTTATTAAATATGAAAGCGTGCAGAAAGGCTTAAGAACAAATAGCTATAAGCAGTGCCCAAACGGATTTGGGTCAGAAATAGGACATAGATTTTTCAAGAGCAAGAGTGGCTAAACAGTGGAACAAACTCAGAGAGAAAGTGTGGCAGTCTCTGTTCTTCACAGTTTGCAGAGAAAAAAATGAATGCTTGTTACAGCATAAGCTTTAGTCACATGTAAACTACAGGGCTCCACACAAGGGTAAGAAATCTGCCTGCCTGTAATAGAGCAGAGGTCCAACCAGGTAATCTGGTGTTTCCTTCTAGCTTAAAATTCTGTGAATGGACCTAGGAAAACAGGTCTGCCCAAACACCCATTCATCTGGCTAAGAAAGATTCCCATGCAGACATAGAAACAACTGGAAAGATGAATAAACAAAGCATCAATGAATTTTTTTCTGAGGCATGAGGATAGAAATGAATGTAGCAGGCACAACTGATAAGTAGGCACAGATAAATACGTTAATTGCATGTATATTTATATGCATGGTATACAAAGCAGAGGAAAATTGAAATGAGCAATATGTTGAAGGAAAAAACATTACATCAAATAAATAAGGTAATTTAAATTGCAAATGAAAGACTAATGGGATGAAGGGTAAACAAAGGGGACTAAACCAATCAATGAGATAAAAAGCTAATGAACTGAACTAATAGAAGAGATGCAAGTTGTTCAAACCAAAGTTAACCCAACCAGTATGTAAACTTAGCTTCAATTAATGATGATTACTCCTGCCCCTGGGAGTGTCTGCAGTTTATTGCTGTAGTTTTTCAGTCACATACCAAAATATACTATACATGCTCATGCTTTTAAAAATGCTCCTTGAGTTTGTCTCTAGTGCAGCACTGACAAGAACAGATATAACTTCACCAAATTCAGATCCACACATAGAAACATCCAGCCCAGATTTATTGCTGCTTCATGTTTGACCTTGATGAAACAGGGCAGAGCAGCAAACCTTAGGTTGATGCTGACTTTGCAACTAACAGAAGCTTTACTCTGCATCTGGGGTTAGCGCAATTAAGAAACGCAACACCACAATGCTATTTTCTATGTGCAGCTGGTGCTATTTCTCAGTGACTCTTTCACAGTCAGGCTCCTTCCACTCCTGCTGACAGAATCACAGAATGGTTTGGAAGGGACCTTAAAGATCATCTAGTTCCAAACCCCCAGCATGGGCAGGGACACCTCCCAGTAGATCAGATTTTGATGACTCTTTGAATGTGACCATCCAGCCAATTCCTTAACCACTGAGTGGTCCATCCATTGAATCTTTCCAATTTAGTGACCAAGATGTCACACAGGATAGTCTTGAACACTTAGCACAAGTCCAAGTAGATGACGTCAGTTGCTCTCCATTTATCCACTGATGCTGTGACCTCACAGTAAAAAGCCACCCAATTAGTCAGGTAGGATTTGCCTTTGGTGAAGCCATGTTAGTTGCCACCAACTACCTCTTCATTTTCCACATGCCTTTTTGGTGAAGCCATGTTAGTTGCCACCAACTACCTCTTCATTTTCCACATGCCTTAGTAGAGCCTTCTGCTTCACAACCTTGCCAGGCACAGAGGTGACACTGACTGGCCTGTAGTTCCCCGATCTTATTCTTTTCCATTTTTGAAAATGGGGGTTTTGTTTCCCCTTTTCCAGTCAGTGGGAACTTTACCAGACTGCCAAGACTTCTCAAATATGACGGAAAGTGGCTTTGCAACTTCATCTGCCAGACCCCTCCAGACCCACAGATGGATCTTCTCAGGTTTTTTTAGATGGTCTCGAACCTGCTCTGCTCCAGTGGGTAGAACCTTCTTCTCTCAGTGGCCTGCCTTTGCCTTCTGCAACTTGGGTGGTGTGGCTAGAGCCCTTGCCAGTGAAGACTGAGGCCAAGACTGAGAGACAGTCTTCTCCATATCCCACATGACCAGGTCTCCTATTTCCTTCTGGAGAGGGCCCACATCTTCCCTAGTCTTCCTTTCATCACTTAGGTACCTATAGAATATTTTCTGTTACACTTCACATTCCTGGCCAGATTTAACTCTATCTGGGATTTAGCTTTCCTAACCTGGTCCCTAACCACTCAGACAACTTCTATGTATTCCTCCAAGGCTGCCTGTCCTTGCTTCCACCTTCTGCTTTTACATCCTGTCTGCCTTCCTTGTTAGGATGCATTGCTCCTGGGCTAGGACGAGGTGATCCTTCAATATAGATCAGTTTTCTTGAGCTTCTCTCCCCTCTAGAGTTTTATTCCATGATAAATAAATTTATCCCATGATATCCTACCAAGCAGATTCCTGAAGGGGTCAAAGTCTGCTCTCCTGAAGTCCAGAGTAGTGAGCTTGCTGTGCATCCACCATGTTGCCCTGCGGATCTTGAATTCCACTATTTCTTGGTCTCTGCAGGCAAGGCTGCCATTAAGCTTCACATTGTCTACCAGCCCATCCATGTTTGGTGAGAACAAAGTCCAGCATAGCACCTTTTCTCATTAGCTCCTCTACCACTTGGAGAAGGAAAACATTGTCAATGCATTCCAAGAACCTCCTGGATTGCTGGTGACTTGCTGTGTTGTCTCTTCAACAGATATCAAGGTGGTTGAATTATCCCACGAGGATGAGGGCTTGTGGCTGCAAAGCTGCTCCTGCCTGTTCACAGAGGGCCTCATCCTCTGTGTTCCTGATCAGGTGTCACCTGCCCCTGGCTTCTCTTTAGCCCTGATCCATAAGCTCTCAGTTGACTCCTCATTCATCCCCAGGCAGAGCTCCATGGACTCCATTTGATCATTGATATAGAGTGCAACACCCCCTTCTTGTCTCCCCTGCTCGTCCTTCTTAAAAGAGCTTGTACCTAACCATTCCCATGCTCCAGTTGTGGGAGACATCCCACCACATCTCAGTGCTCCACATAACATCATAACACCCAGCCAAATAGCCCATGTGGTGTATATGGAGTCTGCTTAAAACATCTCTTAGACACTGAAAAAAAGCACTCAGGTTTACTGCTTGATGTGCAAGGTCTGCACTTCGCGGGTGACCACAGGCTAAGATTAAAATACCTGTCCTCACTGTGTTTACACATCAGGGTAACTTCTGTGTTCCTCTTGCTCTAGGATTAGTATTTCTTCCTACCAGTGAAAAAGGGCCTTGCTCATTTTAAACAATGATTTCTCATATTCAGAATTTATCAGTACTTGCCTTGCATGTGAAATTTTACCCTTTAAATTTTAAAAGACATGAACATGTGAAGAAAGCAGTAAAGACAAGAAATTAAGCAAGTTTAAAACAACCTTAGGATAACTACATCAAGATAATTATTTTACAGAAAGGACTTGGTGTCGAGGGAGGTAAAAGTAAGCAATAGCATTTAAATGTGCATATTAAATAAACAGATGCCCACCCAGTAAACATATCGTATTTTGTTACACTACAATAGCTAGTTAATCACTGATGAACTGTAAAGGTGTTTCCTTCCTTACCTCCTGTGTGCCTGCTTCTGGGTCAGTCATTCCAATCACAGAGAAATCCCCATATCTGTCTCCATTGGCATCGATGGACACCTGCCCTGCAATGCCTAAAGAATGGCATGTGAGGAATGAGAAAATCAATTACTTAAATTCTGAGCCTTTCCAAGGAAAACAAGAAAACAAGGGACAGGTTTTTACAGACTGATATGCCAGGAAATCTCATCAGTCTCCCAGCATTTTTGCTGGCATTCCAAAAAAAATTGTAATTTCATCTTGGTGTCTGCATTCCTGAATTCTTAACATTTCTCCTTTTTAAATATCAAATGTGTGAGACTGTTTTGGGAATACGTGAGAAAAATCTAATCCAAAAGCCAGCATGCAAGAATAAAATGCAAATGTATTTAATGTGAATGGAAAAATGGGAAATAAGGTGATTTGTGACAGCCAACATGATTTCACCAAGGGAAAACCATGCCTGTCCAATCTGGTGGCCTTCTATGGCAAGGCTAAAGAGATGGCAGATATTGGCAGAGCAACTGACTTCATCTACCTGGATTTGTGCAAGACATTTGACACTGTCCCACATGACATCCTGGTCTCCAAACTGACAAGACATGGATTGGACAGATGGACCACTCAGTGGAATCTGACTGGATGGCATCACCCAGAGAGTTGTGGTCAACAGCTCAATGTCCAAATGGGGGCAGGTGACAAGTGCTGTTCCTTAGGGGACAGTACTGGGACCAGTGCTGTTCAACATCTTTGTTGGAGACATGGACAGTGGGATTGAGTGTGTCCTCAGCAAGTTTGCTGATGATACCGAGCTGTGTGGTGTGGTTGACTCCCCAGAGGGAAGGGAGGCCATCCAGAGGGACCTTGACAGGCTGGAGAGTTGGGCCAGTGCCAACCTCATGAAGTTCAACAAGGCCAAGTGCAGGGTCCTGCACCTGGGTCAGTGCAACCCCAGGCACAGATACAGGCTGGGGGAAGAATGGCTGGAGAGCAGTCCTGAGGAGAAGGACTTGGAGTGGTAGTTGATGAGAAGCTCGACATGAGCCACCAGTGTGTGCTGGAGCCCAGAGAGCCAAACACATCCTGGGCTGCATCAAAAGAAGTGTGGCCAGCAGGGCCAGGGAAGGTGATTCTGCCCCTCTGCTCTGCGCTGGTCAGACCCCACCTGGAGTACTGTGTACAGTTCTGGAGCCCTCAGCACCGGAAAGGCATGGAGCTGTTGGAGAGGGTCCAGGGAAGGGCCATCAAGACAATCAAAGGGCTGGAGCAGCTCTGCTATGGAGACAGGCTGAGAGTTGGGGCTGTTCAGCCTAGAGAAGAGAAGGCTCCAGGGAGACCTTATAGCACCTTCCAGTACCTGAAGGGGCTACAAGAAAACTGGGGAGGGGATTTCACCTCAATACAGGAAAGATATTAAGGTGCTGGAGCGTTTTCAGAAGAAGGGCAATGAAGCTCATGAAGGGCCTTGAGAACAAGTCTTACAAGTAGTGACTGAGAGAATTGGGGCTATGTAAAGAGGTAGGCTCTGGTGTCTTCTCACAAGTAACTGGTGTTAGAACAATAACAAATGGTTTCATGCTGCACCAGGGGAGGTTGTATTAGACAATAGCACCAACTTTTTCACTGAAAGGGTTGTCAGACCTTGGAACAGGCTGCCTGGGGAGGTGGTTGAGTCACCATCCCTGGATGTGTTTAGAAGTCACCTAGATGTGGCACTTGGGGATACAGCTCCAAGCTGGGCTTGGCAGAGCAGGGTTAGGGATTGGACTCAAAGGTCATAAAGGTCTTTTCCAACCTAAGTGATTCTCTGATTCTATGGTTCCAGCTTCTTGCATGTACATCAAATAGGCTCCTAAAATCCATCAAACAATACCAGTTAACTGAGGTGAAGACATTATAAGACTTCACTGATATGATTTATCATCTCAGATATTGTCAAATGTGATCGTTCACTGCCTGACACCAAACGTAGCCATTTATACCAATGCAACTCAAATAGGCATCATTTTACATCCATGTTGCACCAACTGCATGACTAAACCAGGCACAAACAGCAGAAAGTCAGGTTCTCAGTGTCTGAAAACCAGAAGAAATCATATATTCATCCAGAGTGCAAATTCCCCTCAACATATCTAATGGTCTGCAGTCACACCAGGGTGTCTCTAACAAGAAAGTTAAATAAGAAATCCTTTTATCATCTCAGCCTTATCCCTTCCTGAGGACATGATGCTGCCTGTGCAGCTGTGGCTGGCAGACTGTGAACACTGCAGTAAAGAGCATCCACATCTCGTTGGAGTTCTGATGGGTCAAACCAGGCTGTAAAATGAAGTGTCCAGGCAACTAGATATCTAGCTGTCAGCAGTTAAACTAATGCCATTAACAAAACTGAAGTTCTCATCATCAAGGCCTGCAAAAGTTTAAGTAACTTACAAAGTTTCAGTCCTACAGCAGAGCCTGGTGGGTGTATGCATGGATTGTGTTCTGCAATGCTGCATCTACTTCAGAAAGCGGCTTACAGGCAAAATAAAGGGAAATTACTTTTCTAAAAGGACTGGCTTGAAAGACACCAAGTTAAAGGCTTCTTTCAAAATCAGGTTTATCCTTGCAAATTCTGTCCAGCAACCCTGTCCACAGGGATGAAATGGAATATGATTTATGTGGCATTTCGACCTTTTCAGCTGCACCTTTACAGCCCAACTTGACAGCTACACTTTCAGAATAGCTGTGACAGGTCAGCCAGCAACAAACTGGTTTTCACAA